CGACCAAAGGCCCATGGCCCTAGGCCATCTGGGCTAGGGCTCTGGTCATTTGGTCGGTCGCCATGCCTGTGTTGCGTGTCCCGCACTCCTCGATGGTTAGGCTAGGGCCTGCGCCGCCAGCTCTCGCCGCCATTCGATGGACGTCATCCTCGCGCCGGGCATGGCATCGATTGTTGATGACGCTGCGAGCATCACGGTTCGCCCTGAGCTGTTCACGCACAGGTGGTAGGTGTGGAGCGAGCGCCGGGTCGGGCTGCGGTGCAGCCACGGCTTCTTGCTCCACGCCCAGCAACTACTGTTGTGAGTGGATGGAGCGATTCGACTGGTGCGACCCCAGTCCCCTGGTTGGGCAAGAGGCCATGAGCCGGTGTCGCGACGCGGAGCTCTCTGCCTACTGAACGGCGGTGGTCTCCACCAGCGCCCGGAGATTCCTATTGATTGCCTGCTCTTGGGTGTCGGCAGGCTCAGGGAGGCCGCGCAAAAGCATCGCCGCAGCAGCGATATTCTAACCAGGCTGAGCAAATTGAGGGATCACCCCCTCCGTCTAGTATGTTACGATGGACCTGACGGGCATGATCCCGAGCACCGCTCGTCGAACGCACCAGCGCAGGTGGCGGCTGGCTCTACCGCCTTTGTTGTAACTCCTCGCTGTGCTCCTATGCATAGGGGTCTGGAGGGGTGTGAGTCTGCAAAGACTCCACCACCTCCGGTAGCCGTCCTGGGGTGCCCGCCATAGCACACTCCTGGGACAGAGGGTGGCCAAGTGCCATGACATCACCGATGCTGGAGTCGTCGCTTTCGACCTCATCATCAACGAGGTCGTGGAAGGAGGCGGGGGCGTAGCCCGCCATCCCTATGAACTCGAACATGAGAGGGGGTAGCGTCAGGCTCCTCCAGAGCCCCCATGTTAAAGAGTGAGTAAAGAACAATATGTACATCACTCACCGTGGGGTTTGAGCCCAACATGGGCTCGAGATGAAGCGCGGGTGTCTCGACGTTGAGGTCGTCGAGTGGCCCAGGGCCGGTGGAGGGAGCTCCTCCTCTAGTGGGCGCCGGGACAAGCGTCTCCTCATGGAGGCGGAGTACGTCGAGCTGGTCGGCGACGAAGTCTAGACTTTCAAAGAGAAAGGTCTGGAGCGGCTCGAAGATAGGAGGAACCCACATTTCAACAAGTGGGAGCGTGGGAAACTCCAGCGAGCCAAAGCGAATCGTATCGCTCGAGCCCGCCATGCCGAAGATGGTGGAAAGGTGGGCCATCCGATGACTGAAAGCGTGAACGCACGGCGTCTTCCCCACGGACGGCGCCAACTGTCGGCACGAAATGTGACCAACAAGTAAATATTTGTAGTTTTGCCGTGTGTTGCGATTGGATGTGGCCTAGCACTCAATTACACAGGATTTATACTGGTTCAGGCAACATGCCCTACGTTCAGTTAAGGTCGGTTAAATTGGTGACTTTATTCCTGAGCCTAGGTGCTCAAAATTTGTTGTGGGGTTACAAACGAATAAGGAATGAGAAGGGGTGTTAGAGGCCCGGTCGGATTCGAACCGAGTGGAAGAGAGTGACGGATGCTCAAACGTCGCTAAGTATTGGAGTGTATGCTACAGGTGTCCGGATTTATCACCGTTGAGAGCGTGTAGACTATGTAGTCATCGAGCTCTAGAGCCGTTGTCTTTGTTGTCCTCGAGTCTTGAGTCTTGATCATTCGAGTAGGAGAGATCGCATCCCTTTTATAGTTGAAGGGATGGACTTACAAGTCGAGAGAAAGAGAGAGAGAGAGTATACGTTTGCTGCCTAATCTTGTTGCTCACGCCATCGGCTACGGGATAGCTGTCGTCGCCCGCCATATTGTTTACACCGCCAGCACCCACAATATTGTTTATGCCTGCAGCGTCTGGCGTGCTCTCTCGTGTTAAATGCAGTACGGCAAATGACGGCGCCCACAATATTGTTTATGCTCGACGCGTATGGCGAGCTCTCACCGTGTTACTTTGGCATGCCCCGACGGCACCGTCCTGCGCAGTGCGCGCAGGGCATGGCGAATGGTACGGTCCTCGATATTGCGGTTGACTTGAGCGTCTTATCTTATCGGCCCCGCCTGCTCCCTGGGCCCACACCGAGCGGGCGTCCCCGATCGGTCGTTCCCAGTCGACCCCAACCGTGTCGGTCGGTAAAGAGCAGCGAGCAAAGGTCCGGCGTATCCCCGGTCGGAGAAAGGGGGTCGGAGTTGGACTGCGGTCCCAACACGGCCAAGTCTTCCGGTCGAAGTCTCACCGAGATCTCCTGGCTTTGAGATACGGTCGGGGACCGGATCGTGGTCTTAGCCCTTTGTCATTGTGTATCTGGACCGGCCAAGACGCGTCTTTGTCGCTCATGACCCTCATCATCTGAGTTTTGTAGGGAAACGGATCTATTAGGGACCCGGGTTTATGAACTCAACAACTCTCATCTTCTTTAATATAGTACGTACCAACGTTTAGTTTGGAATTTTTTCTTTAAAAAAAGAATAAAAAAGAGAAGAGACCATTTTTTTATGCAAGAGAAGAGACCATTTAGTATAGAGGTGTTTGCAGGGGCGAGATGATCTTCCCTCGCAAAGTTCCAAGCTTCGTCCAACTCGTGCTTCTTGGACGCACACCCAGAGTCAGACATGTTAGCGATAACGTTTCAGGACGCCACGTACGTTCATTATAAATTGTCTGAGTACAACATGCTACGGGTACTGCCTTGCTTGCATTGGGAGCCTGCTGACTGATGGACACATTACTGTCAAGATGAACTGGTCATGTATAATCCTGAAAAGAATGCAAGTACGGGCGTGTCACGAAAAGTATTTCATATTTGACGAAGGTTCTACTGAATAATATTCACATTTATATCTTTAAATTAATTTATTATAAAAATAGATTTTATAATTTATTTAATGATATTTATTTAATATTATAAGCATGTATATTTTTTTATCTATAATTAATCAAACTTAAGGTAGTAAAACGTGACATTGTGCTAGAATTACATTCTTTTGAGAACGGAGGTGGTACCTGACAGTTTTGAGATGTTTATGCTATTGATCCTGACAGCAATTTTGCAGCCGACTAAGCTACTACTGCCATGCTCGTTTGGCTGATAAGCCATGACTGAAAATACTATTGACTGATTTGTTGTGAGAAAAAAAAATATTATTCGTTGGCTAAAAAAGTATGGCTTATAAACTAAGCGAACAGGAGGAGGAGTACTTGATGAATGACGAATTTGCAAATCACTCGATCTATCTCCAGGATAGCATTTGGGACACGCATGCCTCAAGTCTGAACCACACAGAATTCAGGTTTCGTCTACCAGAGGTTTACACATTAACTTTTTTTTTTTTTTGACAACGAACCGCCGTAACGTCCTACCTGGTAACACGTCGGCCGGCTAGCCGTGGCAGGGAAAATCCTGAATATGGGCGTGTCCCCTATCCACGAAGATCACGAAAACGACAGGAATAATTACCATCAGAGCAAGGTGATGTTGTTTATGTTTCCTCCAAGATTCATGTGTCGGTAAAATCCGCTAGGAGAACGAAGTTGGCTGCAGGAGGACACTCACTTGCAGTTGCAAATATACATCGTTACGTTACAGGAGGCACAAATTCTGTTCAGATTAGTATAATTATCGCAAATGGCGAACATAGAAAAAACAAGAATTATATTTCTTCTCTTGACATCCGTAAAGCTATTGGTGACTTTTGGAAAAGAAAGAGTAAGAATAAAATCAGCTTAAAGAAACGTATTACGTCTGGCTCATCTTGCCCTGATTCGAATCAAGCGTGACTTACTACCAAATCCGCATGAAATTCCCTGTCACGGGAAAGGAACAAGCATGGAAAATTAGCGGTAAGTGTAGACTAACAGAACACAATCGCAATGATCATGGGCAAGAAGACGGTCAGGCTGTAATAATTTACTATACATCAGAGCAAATTTCTTCTCCTTTTGTTCAAGATATTTATTGCAATTAAAAATTAAAGCAGGGTTTTCCATAGGGAGCTGTAGATAATGATTCTGTTGGGAGCTGAAGTTTCACTATATACACATTTTAGGAAAACATTTATTCTTATTCTATTTTATATATATTGTGCCATTAAAAGTAGGGGAGGAGAATACTGGTTTGAGAGTAGTCCTTGACTACTGCAATTCAAAGTGCCGTTTATTTGTTCCCAAAAAAAGACTACTGCATTAAAAAAAAATATTAATTATATATGACCAAACAACGTACGCAGTCTCTATTATAGTTGTTGCAGCAATTAATCTTGCGTCCGATAAGATAAGCATTATTGCGTGTAATAGTTGCATGCAGAGGATAACAAGACAAGGCTGATGATGCAGCAGGACCGCAGGGGACCTCTCCGATCCGATCCGTGAAACAAATCCTTAGCTAGGCTAGGCAAATCAGCAAATGCAACTGCAATTTGCAAGAAGAAATGGAAACGTATCTGTGCTGTGCATGGTCACGGCCGGTGCGGCGTGCGTGCTGTGCATGCGCGCGCGTTGCACTGCTGTGGCTCCGTTCGGCTTATCTCATATTTGATTTGTTTGATTTTTTTAATTAAAATTATATTTTTCTCTTACAACCATTCAGGCACCCTATTTTCCGTTTCAGCCAGCCGTCGCCCTCCCGGCGCCCGCCACGTCTGACGTCTCCTCCGGCCCTCCTCTTGCCTCCGCTGCCGGGCCTCGCCTCTTGCTGCCCAGCCTGCGAAGCTACCTACTTCTTCCTAGCTATCTATAAACACCCCCGCACCTCGCGCCTCCTCTCCTTCCCCTCCTCCCCCGCTTCCCCCTCTCTCGTTCTCGGCATCGGCAGACACGGCAGCGTCTCTTCTCTATCTCGGGACAAGTTATATTTATATACAAATATTCGACCTTGCGTTGATCGGTGCGGTGGCCATGGGCGTCTGAGCCATTGATGAGAGCAGCAGTACCGTTGGTTGCGGCGGCGACGGCGGCCGGACGCGATGTCCGTTGTGGCGGCCGTGGGGCCCGGCGCCGCGGCGGCGGCGTCCTACGGGCACGGGCAGCCGCTGTGCGGCGGCGGCGGTGGCGGCGGGGCGAGGAAGAGGAAGGACGTGGGCGTGGTCCAGGACCAGGAGGCGGAGGCGGCGGGGGTGCGGGGTAGCGACCGCGGCACGGCGGCGCCGCGGCGTGCCGCTGGGCTGTTTGTGCTGGAGACGGTGGAGGAGGACGCGGACGCGGAGAGGTCGTCCATCGGCGCGCCGTCCGAGGACGAGGAGGAGGACGGGGAAGAGGTGGACAGCGGCGGGACCGGGACGTCGTCAGCGGCGGGGAGGAAGGGCGGCGCGCTCGCGTGCATGGACATGGACGCCCTCGACGACGCACTCCCCATCAAGTAAGCACGCATCGCGTCGTCGTCACCGATCGTTCGCACACACGCACGCATGCGGCTTCTTCCTCCTCCACTCCACCGGTACGGTTCGATCGATCGAGGTCGTTCTGACGACACGGATGTGATGTGCAGGAGGGGCCTGTCCAACTTCTTCTCCGGCAAGTCGCGGTCGTTCGCGAACCTGCAGGACGCGGCGTCGGCGGTGACCAGCGCCCGGGACCTGGCCAAGCCGGAGAACCCGTTCAACAAGCGGCGGCGGGTGCTGCGGTGCTGCTCCATCCGGAGGGTCGCGTCCTCCTCTCTCACCGCGCTGCCGCCCTTCTTCCTGCCGCCCACCACGGACGGCAGCACCGGGGACGACGACGACGACGGCGCCGGCCGCCGCAGTGACTAGCTGAAGAACGGGCCAGCCGCCGCGCTCGCCGGGTGCACATCAAGGAGGACTACTACACACATCAAGCAAGACGGATGGAATGAAACGCGCCATGGATCCTTCTCCTTTGTAGTAATAGTTGCATCGTGGGATCCCATTTCATCTCCATCAGCGTCATCAACCAAGCATGATATACATATATATACTAGTGGTAGGTGTTGATTTCTTCTTTTAGCTAGCAATCAAACACTCCATCGATCGTAGCTTGATGTGCATCATTTGCATGCATTGACCTGAGCACTAGCCACCAGATCACATTACTATACGTGCTGTGATCCTTGCATCCCGGCCTAGCTAGCAGCTGCTCCTGCTGTGATGCCATGCCATCAGAAATTAGAAAGAGAGCTCAGGAACAGCCAACAACAAACGTCCTGTTCGCTTGGCTGTACTTTTCCAGTTAACGAACAGTATTTTTCTCTTGCAATAAATCAGCTAACAGTATTTTTAACCATGACTTATTAGCCAAGCGGTGCAGATGAAGCACTAATTTATACATTGAGCAAGTTTCATCACCATCTGTTCATTTATTTGATACTCTTAAGATAGGAGCATATATATTCCAGTGCAGGCATTGGATATATATATATATATATATATATATATATATATATATATATATATATATATATATATATATATATATATACTGTTCTATAGCTGGTCATAGAATAACTTATTATGTGGTCACTTTGAGTTACGATAATTATCATACTAATTTACGAGATTATAGTAACCCTTTACTAAGTGATTTACTATAACATTATCGTAAATATCACCGTGAGTTGTAGTAACACGAGTATCGTAAATACATATTCATGTTATCGTAAATTTACGATACTCGTGTTACTACAACTCACGGTGATATTTACGATAATATTATAGTAAATCACTTAGTAAGGAATTACTATAATCTCGTAAATTAGCATGGTAATTATCATAACTCAAGGTGACCACAGAACAGTATATATATATATATATATATATATGCTCTGATGGCATGCATGGATTATGGAAAGTTTTATACTCTACTCACTCTCGCCAACAAACCATACTTGTAACCACCACCTTGCCGTGTGCTGCAGTGGCAGCAGCGCAGTAGGTCGATGATGCCTTTTGCCAAAGAGCAGGATATCGGTGAAGTGCATGCATGCATCAATTTGTACTTTAATGTCCTCCTTTTTACTTCTTTTTAAGAAACTCCTCCTTTTTATTTCACTTATCTGCTCTAGGCTAGTTTCATTCGCCGCATCATCATACATACATATTACTACATATATAATCCGGGAATAAAATTGAAGTTGTAAATAAACTTGAATTAATGTTGCCGTGTCTACGTATACAAATAATCCTGTGATGGTAACATAAATACAATACTCCGTAAATTGTAAGACTATCTTCAACGGTGCATACCCAAATCAACGATCAATTCCAGAAATTAGGTTCTGTACACTAAATAGGTCACCGACCCAAAACCGTCCCTCTCCAACAGCCCACCGTGCCTGTCCAAAATATCTCATCGCCTCCTCAATCTCTCTATCGATTTCTCTCTCCCTCACTCCTCGTCCCAACCCCGCAAGACTCACTTGCACCGCTTGCATGCTGTAGCTCCCGTCCGTGCCCCCTCCTCCCCTCCTCCTTTCTCTCTCTCTCTCCTCAAGGCAGGCGTGGCGGGGGCTAGAGCGCTTGATTTGTTGTGAGAGAGCAAGGGAGGACAACGTGAGCTGGGTGGAGCCGGACCCTGACGACCTTCTTCTTCCCGACCATGACGCTTCTCATCACCACCAGCCGGCTGCTTCCACCGCTTCCGCCCACGCGCCATCATCACCGGCCATGGGAGCGGTCCTAGATCCGGCGAGGCAACCAAGGCCGGCGGCTCGGAGGTGCTCCCACGGCGAGCTTCGCCTCGCCGAGCCGGGCCCCCGCCCCGACGCCTCCTATGGGCCCACCACTACAGGCGCCGAAGACTTTATGTCTTGGAGAAAGACGACACAAATAGGCCTCTCGGTTTGCCTCGTACCCAAAATGCATGCTCCGTTTACGTCTTCTGTTGAAGTCGGTTTTCTTGAGCTAAAATACTGTGCATCATATATTTTGGGTTTGCCTCGCCGTTTACATATGCAATAATGCATGATCGTAGTACTACTGCTACTCATGGATGCGTGCCAGGACGACCAAGATAAGGCTCATCTCATCTGCCTGCCTCACACTACCTGTGCCTGGCCAGCTACTGCTAGCGGTGACCTGTAGGTGTCGTAGTACTACCAGAGAAAGAGAGACAGGGACTGACGGACGGGGAGACAAGGCTGTCCAAAGCGATGGTGTGGTGTGGTAGGATAAGCTTGCGGATAGCCGGCCGGCCGGCCGGACTGGAGGAGGCAGCGGCCGTCTCCGTCTCGTGGCGGTCCGCCCGGGTCACGTCTCGTCGTGGAGAGCTCAGCTCAAATGCTCAATAGAGGTCGCCCCAGGATGACGATGGACCGCCACTGTCCCACTGCGTCTGCACGTACGTCGCGTGTCGCGCTGCCCGATCTTATCCGCTTCGCGCGGGGCCCAGCCGTTGCCACCGTATTACCTGGTTTCATTCATCAATGGTTTCGGGGCTTGTCAGCGCGCTGATTGATTATTACATGTCCCACTGTCATCGCTAATAGTAGACCTAATTAATACGGTTGTTTGGATTGGGTCGACAAACGACCTTCCACATCCAGATTGGCCGATCGAGATATTTCCGCACGATTAGGTCAATTTTCCAAGACTGAGAGTTTGAGATAGGGATCGATCGAGTTGTTGCAGGGTGGTTGTTTTCGATCTTAGAAAAAAAATCAAGATTGGAAGTGGGTTTTGAAAACTCTTAAAGATGCTCTTAGTAATCACAAATATTAAGAGCATCTTTATCCTACCCCTAAATTTGGCTTCCTATTTGAGAAAGGCTAGCGCCCGGACGCCCGCGCTGCACGTTTGCTTCACGTGGGGTCTTTGCGCTACTCTGTGTCCCGGGCCGTATCGATCTGCGTCCACACGGTTTCCCGTGCCTGCAGCTTGTGCCCCCTCCACACCCGCACACATGCAGGCGGGTAGCTGCTACGATGGGTCCACTGCAATATGTGCAACACTAGATCTATTTTTGCAAACATCTGGAGGAAACATTACAACATACGTCTGAAACACGAGGGAAACACGTGTGAAGACATTGCAAAACATATGCAACATCTTGATGAAACACTTGCAACATATACAACATCAGAATAAAACACTTTGCAACATCAGTGTGAAACATATGCAACATCGAGATAAAACACATGCAACAACCATTTGAAACAGCTGAAACATTTGGAACAGACGCTTGCCCATACGTGTATAGCCATTGCAACATATGCAACATCCCGATCTATTTTTGCAACATCCACATGAAACACTTGCAACATGCATGAGAAACACCTGAAATACTTGAAACATATGCCTGCAACATCCTAGGAAGGAAGGGAGCGCGAGGTGCAGCCAAAGAAGTCCGCTTCGAGTTTGGCCATTCTGGATCTCGTGATGTCGCGAGCTGAGGTCGAGTGTCGCCGGTGTCGACAACGGCCAGCCGGCCACGACCTTCTGCACGGCGCGATGAGGCGGAGTGGGTGCGGCGGAGGATGGAGCACGGCATGGTGGCAGACGTGTCGCGGCTCGACGTGGGATGAGGGCGCCGCTGCGAGGCGGCTTGGGGTGGGCGGATAGCGCGGTGAGCCGCAACGAGCGAAGCGAGGAGTTAGAGATTTCTGTCGAGAGAGCGTTGATGGACCTGTTGGGTCAGTCGCTGTGCTGGAGCGAGCACAGAGTAGAGTATCCGGTTTTTAAAAATTCCGGACGTATGTTCTGTAGGGTTACCGTTCCTATTTTCGGCAAATAAGGCGCAACTTTCCCTGCTCTGTCGTCATAAAATTGCTTCTGTATTCCTCTTAACTGTATTTTCTAATACTCCACCCATTTAGAAAAGAATGCAACTACGTGTTGCGTGCTAGCAAAAGTAGTTCACATTTGACCAAATTTCTAATAAATACTATTCACATTTATGACTCCAAAATAATTTATTATAAGAATACATTTCATAATTAATCTAATGATATTTATTTGATATCATAAATATTAATATTTTTTTATCTATAATTGATCAAACTTAAGATATAAAACCATGGCACGGTGCTAGAATTGTATTCTTTTCCTGGCCAGAGGGAGTATTATCTGTGACTAACATGCACTGTTTTTTCAACTTCACACTCCATCAACTATATTTTCAGTTGTATATGTATGTATGCACGCCCATTGGAGCTACCAGAGTTGCAAATTGTTTTTCCTGGCCTGTTTCCCGGCCAGAATCGAGACTGTCTACGCTAAATCAAATTTGGAGCACATATGCCCATAGGAGCATACCGACACTATCCTTTGCATTTGGAGCACACCAATTAACAATTCCATTCGCATTATTTTTAATTTTGTGTACTTTATTTGTACTTATATTTGTGAATAAGTAAATACAAATTTTAACAACCTGCAAATCAAATAAAATTAAAAGAAGTTTTTTTAGGAAACTGCGCAGCCACTTAAGTAAGGGTCTAACTGTTTCTTCCGCTAAAAAACTGTTTCTTCCGCAAGGAGCGCACTACCAGCTCCCCCTGTCGCACTCGTGTGCCGGCCGGCGACGGCGATGGCGACTGGCCGATCGCTCGCCCGGGTATACTCCTCCAGAGCCACCCGCCCCGCGCCTCTCCGCGCCGGCGCACGGCCGCCCCGTGCCGTCGTCGCCGCGGCCGAGCCCGCGGCCGAGCACGTGCGGAGGCTCGTGGCGGAGTTCGACCCGGCGGGCCCGCTGGACTCCGCGGTCACGCCGCCGAGCGGGTGGTACACCGACCCAGGCTTCCTCCAGCTCGAGCTCGACCGCGTATTCCTCCGCGGGTGGCAGGCTGTCGGTACGCTCGATTTCCCCCCGTCTCGATTTGAGCTGCGTTTCCACAATCCATTTGCGCAGAAGATGGATCGTCTGTCAGGAGCTACGAGTAACCTGTCAGTGAGTTTTGGAATCTTGGTAGGTGTGTTGATGGCCCATTCCCATCAGTGGATGGGAGTGAGAGCCTGAGAGGATCGAATTTTGAACTCGATGCTTATGCTCCCATTGCTTTAGACACCATTTGCTGAATTCCAGGTTTAGTACTGCAATGGCTGAGTAGGATTTGATTTTTGCGATCGGCTTATAATTTATCATTGCATACTGTTTTTTCAGTAGATTGTTCACTACATCTACATGTTCACATGTTTCAGTTTTGTCAGCATCCGTAGTTGCTCATACCATTCCGCCTTTTAACTTTAATATAATGCTCTTTTCCAGGTCACATATGGCAAGTGAAGAACCCAAATGATTTCTTCACAGGAAGGTGCTTACATCTTCTTTTCATGCCTCGGTAGTTCTATCAGTAGTAGTTTTGCTACGCCTTCTGTTTTTTAAGGTATAGAGATTTAGATCTGGTCATGTAGAATTTAAACTAAAAGTAAATAATGGTGAAAGAGTAGGATTTCTTTTTTATTCTTTTTTTGTAGGATATTATCATAGCTGTTCTGTATTCATTACTTGTAAACTGAATTTGTATCTGAATAACTTGCAAAAGGTTTCATGTATATGAATTGATGCCAAGATCTGCCACCTGGGAATTGTAGACTGGCAGTAGGACAGGTTATTCATTCCTTTTCTTCTAGACAGAACTAGTTCTGCTAATACTTTTCTTAGCCCAATATTTGGTTGTTGATAAATGGTCTGGGATATCAATATGGTGGCTGGTGCGTAACACTTGCGATACTTCTTTTTAGGGCATAAATGCTCATGGGACATTCCTTTCCTACATACATAACACATTAAAAACAATTGGCAGTCTTGTTACCTCAAATTGCTTGTAAATATGATAATTTATGTTGGAGACTGCTAACCTTCAATCATCTAATAAGATGAAGCAACAGACTGGGAAATGTGGAATTTGTCATATGCCGGGATGCAAATGGGAAACTTCATGCTTTCCACAATGTGTGCCGACATCACGCGTCACTCCTTGCATGTGGAAGTGGTCAGAAGACTTGCTTCCAGTGCCCTTATCATGTGAGTTCCTTGATGAAAAACTTCTAGAGGCGGTTCGTCCTTTGGTTCTATGCTTACATCATATTCTTTCGTTGTCCTAAGATAGTCATATTAATTTTCCCTAGCTAGTTGTTTATTTTTCAATCATCTTGTGTGAGATACTAGCCATGGAACTTTTTAGGGATGGACATATGGATTGGATGGCACCCTCCTGAAGGCTACAAGAATATCAGGAATTAAAAACTTCAATAAGAATGTATATCCCAAGTTCTTTCCCCAGCCTATGTGCTTATCAACCCAACAACGCTACCTAATGCTTTTGTTTGCAAACAGGATTTTGGTCTCATACCAATCAAGGTGGCTACCTGGGGACCTTTTGTGTTGGTCAGATTTGATGATGAGTCCACTGAAGATAATGTTTATGATGCGGTTGGAAATGAATGGTTGGGTAGTGCTTCAGATCTGTTGGGTACAAATGGAATTGACACTTCACTGCCGCATATTTGCAGGCGAGAATATATTATCAACTGTAACTGGAAGGTTCATTATTGATAATCTGTTCATGGCTAACGTTTTGATCACATGTTTCTCAAATGCAATGAGTTTCTCTTAAACATGTTATAATTATTCTATATTTCTTATGCAGGTCTTTTGCGACAATTACCTAGATGGTGGATATCATGTTCCCTACGCACATGGGGCTCTTGCATCCGGTCTGCAGCTTCAATCCTATGAAACACTTATATTGTCCGTAAATCCCTTTTCTGAACTCTGAAGGCATTTCATTGATAGTATTTTGAAGTGACATGTTGCAAATTGAGGAGCTTGACTCTGCTAATATTTAAACGTGTTGTTTGGAATTTTTTTCCTACATTTTTGGATTGTGCTTTGTCAAAGGCACCAGTTTTTCGGTTTGTATCCATGGTCACAGCTCTAATCCTAGTACAGTAAAGTACTGGATTATTTTTTCTCTTACAGTTTCAGTTGCTGTTCTCTTTAAGGGTGGATAATTAAGTACCATCTACAAATTTCTCGCAGATGCGTAGTGGAATCCTAAGCCAGGATAGTAACGTGAAGAGAGGCAGAGGAAGACCGAAGCTGACTTGGGTAGAGGCAATAAAAGGAGACTTGAAATGATGTAATATACCCAAAGACTTAGCCTTAGATAGGAGTGCTTGGAAAACAGCTATTCACGTGCCTGAACCTTGATTGCTTCTGTTTGGTTTCAACTCTAGCCTACCCCAACTTGTTTGGGACTTAAAGGCTTTGTTGTTGTTGTTGTACAAATTTCTCGCAGACATATGAAAGAGTTAGTGTTCAAAGATGTGAAAGTGCATCAGCAGAACCAGATGACTTTGATCGCTTAGGGACAAAAGCTCTCTATGCCTTTGTTTATCCAAATTTTATGATCAACAGGTAATCAACATTGAGAACCTATTATATTTACTTCTCTCACTTTATGTTATTTCTTAGTTGCTTACAAGATGCGTATAACTTCTGAATTTTCAGGTACGGTCCATGGATGGACACTAATCTAGCTGTCCCGTTAGATTCAACCAGGTGCAAGGTGGTATTTGATTATTTTCTTGATAAGTCTCTGCTGGTAGAGTCCATTTTCTTAACCTTATTTACCAATTTATGATCCTGCAATGCATATCACGTGCACTGCATTTAATATCGATGCAACTATATGCTATATTTTATGAATCTTGGGTGGCGTGTCATGATAATAGATTGAATTGCCAAGACGAGCATCTTTTTACTACAAACAAATCTTGCTTGTCCTTGACGAGATGAAACTGCTTTCTAAGAGCTTCATTCATTTTTGTAGCAACTAGCAGCATCCTTTGACTCTGTAATTTAATAGGCTAGTTTGAAGTTGTGAACTAGTAAAAGTCAGTGTTAAAAAATCTTAAAGTTTTGGTCAATTAGTTGTCCACATAGACTTCTTAACTTTGCCAGTGTATCCGCGTGGACTATCAAAGATTCCACCTTAAAATTTCTTCAGTTAATTTTCCCATATTGAACGTGAAGGATGACCAGAGTTTTATCGAGAAAAGCCTAAAAGACAGTGAGCAAGTACAGGTAAAAAACCATAACACTATTGCTTGGTAGTGACTTGTGAGCTTATGTGCTCAAGTTCATAGTCCCGTTTATGCTCAAGTTGATAGTCCTATCAAAATTTTCGTCTTCATATAATGATACGCAGCTCTCTTGCGTGTTCAAGAAAAAAGATAGTCCTATCAACATGGTTAACAACAATAGCAATATATACCTTGGTAGCAGTAGGCAATAGCATCATGTTCTCTATGGAGCATATTGCTAATACTATGGTCCTACAGATTTTTTTTTTAAAAAAAATTGTAACATGCACACACGGATACATATCACACAATGTGGGAAAACACAACCATGAAGTCGTTTTCACATTGACCTGCAGCAGCATGAGCAAGAGGTCTATGCGTGTGACATAGATGTGTTTGCAATAATCTTCACCAGTTGTACAGTGTGACGTTTCAATGTTGTTTTTATTAGGGAAAACATTTCAATGTTGTTGCTTGACATAATATGTTTCACCTGCAGATAGAAGACATTGCACTCTGCGAGGGGGTTCAGCGCGGCCTGGAATCGCCGGCTTACAGTGTTGGAAGATATGCTCCGTCTGTGGAGATGGCCATGCACCACTTCCACCGCCTCATACATGGTAACCTTAGTGGGTAGTTATTCTCATGGGTGCATCTTGCAAACTTGTACAGAACCAAACGCTCTTTTGTGCAGGACACTGCATGAACACTGCTCTTTATTGTAATCTTGTGATGTGAAACCAATCACACCTCAATTACACAAAAACATGTTTGCTGGTTATTAAATTGAGTTCTCATAAATTTTCAGATGCATTAGATACTTTCTGAAACTGCTCTCTTCTGTGGACTCTGGCTTGGTGATTTTGCAATGACCTCAGTAACTATAAATAAATTAGCATCAGGCCATGCTAATTGGTAGAAAATATAACAGTTCATGGTATATAACTTCTACAAATTAACGTGTTTGGTTGTAACAAAATGGAGATTATGTTTCACACCATCAGGTGCTGCCCGCTTATGTATGCACGCTGAAACATATGACCTGAAGAGGTTACCTTTCTGTGATCTTTAGTGTTTGTAGATTGCGGTTCTTACCGGACTTGCATAGGAAGCTATTGTCTGCTTTTACACTACTTCTGATTCTTCCAGTGCCAACTGATGGAATCATACAGGGAAATGCACTGGAGTGTTGATGTTTTACCATGCACCCGAATAATGGTGATCTTCGTTGATTACCGAAAACGGTCTATGGGTTTGAGTCTTTGAGATGAGAACTTCAATTACAGGCCCATGAAAAAAATGTGCTGCCTCTTCTTTGCGACACTTCTTATTTCAGTCTTTGCTGCTTCTACCAGGAACACGTGAAAGTGTCACCACCTCGTGTTGTAACGAACTCAATTCGTTTCTTTTTATTAATACAAAGATACAAATCTCTCCTGCATATTCTCTAAAGGAAAAAAAACTGCGAAAGTGTCACATGCAAAATGCCCATTCTGAAACTGTAGACTCACTATTCTGCGACTTTTTGAGGATGTCTCAATGGCCTCGGTGACTTTAAATAGCATTAGCATTAGCATCTAACTCACTGTTGCACGCCATTTCAAGCCTGCCCGTGAACTGAGACGCATTTTATGTATGTTTCCTGCACGCAGACCGGCTATTATCCCTGAAAATCCATTACAGTTGCAAGTCTCTGAATAGCATGACAGTTTTCAGGATTTCTACCTTGATCAGCCGCCCAGCAGTATGGCAGATCCTGTTGAGGGGTAACCGGGCAAGTATCAAAATCCTTTACTGCTAAGTTCAAGCTCAATTCTCAAAAATTCTAAAGCAATTTTTCCTACCCAAATGATTTTCCTAACATTTTTCAGTATCTCTCCAACAGCAATGAAACAAGGGAGGACTTTGGATCTGAGTACAGGGAATGGTAATCAGCGAGTATAACAATTCACAGTACCTTTTTTTTTTTCAAATTGGCCTGTTAGGAGTAATAAAATGGAAAATATGCTTCAACACTGTCAAGCGCAGCTTGACTCATGTACGCTACGCACGCTACAATATGTGATCACTGAAATGCTCTACTTGTTAGATGACTCTAGGGATAGAAAACACATGCTTCATCCTCCATGCAGACAGACAGGTGAATTCATCATTTGTAAATCTTACTTCCACAAAATCCTTGTGCAAGGTACAAAACAGAAAGAATTAGCTCATCCAGTGACACCAAGATGACCTACATTTACATATTGTTCACTCTTCAGACTTCAAATGACTGGCATTGGCACAGACAACTCCCACTGAACCGTCAAGAGCCAGATGAGCCACAGTATATAGAGGCATACTTAATTGCACCAGGACCAAACTTCTTGGCAAGCCACGGCAGATAAGCGACGTTATTTACTGCAAAAAAGATCAGCATTTATTAAGCCATGTAAATAATACAAGTACTATTTAGAAGAGGCGAAACACAATTTCTAGAGCCACTTTACTAATAAGATTTGCAAATAGTTGCCTTTTATATGATACTTTTTGTCTCATCTTTTTCTAATTGACCTGTCTTGGTTTACATATATTTTAGTGCCTTATGACAATTATATTAGTCTTATGACAATTATATTAGTTATTTCATATGGAACTTACCTGCTTGAGAATCAGAAGAGTCAAACTTATTGATGTTGGGTATGTGTTGAACAATGTGATTGTCACTTCCATGCAGTCTTATTATGAACTCATTTGACATATCTATCAGAAACATCTCATGGAGTGTCCTAATGTACTTGATGCCCTCAGGTACAACCTTTAGATTCCTTAAACCAGCAAGTGATAAAACATCTAGATTCACCATTGTTCCATCCTCTACCTCAATCCAATTCAGATGTTCCATGTCAGCTAATTGCAGAGATTTGAGATTGGGGAACCATCTGGTGCAAAAAGTTAGCTGTTCCCCAGTATATGCTCCAGTGAGAAATAGATCAACAAGATTTAACATCTGAGAGAAAGAGCTAACAGGATCCTTCTTCAGACTAGACCAGTCCAATTTTAACAGCTTTAATTTCACAGAAAATATCGATGGGAGCAAGCCTCCCTCCAACTTCCCTGACAGGACGAATGACGTCAGATTTGGCAACGGCTTTAGCATTTTCAAGTCGAGAGTCTCATTCACATTGCACGTGGAAATAAGTAGTCTATTCAGGTTAGGCATCTTTGTTAGCGAGTTCCATAACTCTGCAATGTAGCTTTGTTGCACTTCCGCAATAGCCAAAGTTCTCATTAACTTCAAGTTCCCCAGCTGTGAAACCAAATCTTTACTGGCTGAAACAACCTGCAAAGCTTGGAGATTCTTTAGACGACAAATGTTACCAGGAATTTTTGTAGCGCTGAGGCAGTTCAATGATCTTAGTAGAATATCATAGACTGCACACACCTGTAGCTGCCGTAAATTAGTTAGCATAGTTATTTCCAGTGGCAACTCCTCTACGTAGGTGAATCTGAGATCCAAAACTTGTAGGTTAACAAGTTTTCTGAATGATGTTGGTATTATCTTCACTTTTGTGTACGAAAAATCAATATAGCGCAAGTTATACAATTCTGTGACCACGGCAGGCACTTGTCCAATATTTGCAAATCTTAGGCATAGGACCCTCAGCAGTCTGAAACGTGATAAAAGATCACGTATCCAAGAACATGGTACTTCAGTGTCAAACAAAGTGAATGAGCGGAGCCGTGAGCTACTTAAAGAATTCATGGTCTGGGCACCGCTTTGGATGAATAAGCGGCGAGCTTCATGGGCAATTTGGGTTGTACTGGCACCACCATGTGCAATACCAAACTTCTCCTTTTTAGCAATGATTGACGTAACCTCTCGCACAAGATCATGCATCACAAATATTCTAGCTCTTCCACATGCTTTCCTTTCTGTGACCTGAAGAAGAGAGCGTTGAGTCAACTCCATAAGGTAACACTCAGCAACTTCCTCCATTGTCGTTCCATCCTCTCTCTCTTCCACAAGACCTTCCGCTATCCATAGCTTCGAAATATGTTTTCTTCTAATCTTGTAATCTTCAGGATAGAGGCTGCAGTATAGGAAGCAGCTCCTAAGATAACTTGGGAGATCATTCAAGCTCAACTTTAAGACACTGGAAATCCAGTTGAGCTCTGGATTGTTCGCTAATTGCCAGCTAAGTTGGTTGAAGAAAAATGCCCACTCCTGTTCCTTTAAGTCACGGTATGACAGAATACTGCCAATAGTTATAATGGCCAGTGGCAATCCTTGGCACTTTGCAACAATTTTATTTGCCCAATATCTTATATTTTCAGGACAAATGTTATCTTTTGAAGCATGAAAGGCCTTTTTACAAAATAGTTCCCAAGATTCAGCATGTTTAAGGGTTTTAAGTTCAATGACATAGTTGTCAACTGCCAAAGAAGACACATCTTTCCTCCGGGTTGTTATCAGCACTTTACTTCCACAGTTGTTTTTGACAAATGCATAGTTCAAAAATAGTCAAGCATCTTTGTTCCATACATCATCCAAGACAATGAAATATTTCCTGTCCTGCAAATGACTTTGTATTAGCTCAACTAATCTCATGCGACTCATGGTCATGACACCACTTGTCATGCTTGCTCTTTCACCTATTAGCCGATTTATAATTTCTCTTAATAGGTTTTCAACCTGATAAGTCTGAGATACAACAACCCAGGCGTGGCAACCCGCTTCTACATAAGTTCCTAAAATTCGTGTCACATCGAATGTTTGACATATGTATGGAGTATTAAATATAGATTAATTACGAGACTAATTGCACAACTTGTGACTAATTTATGAGACGAATCTTTTAAGCCTAATTAGTCCATGATTTGACAACGTGTTGCTACCGTAAACATGTGCTAATGACAGATTAATTAGGCTTAAAAAATTTGTCACATAAATTAGCCTCCATCTATGTAATTGGTTTTATAATTAATCTATATTTAATGCTCCTTATTAGTATCTAAACATTCGATGTGACATGAATTTTAGGAGCGACTAAAGAACCAAATACCCCCCTAAATGCCACACCGTTTACCCATTATGCGCTATGGGGCTTGATTTGGCTAGTATCTTGATTTTTTTTAAACAATCTAGTATCTTGATTTTCACATTTTTAAAATGAAATCTCTCTCTTCCCATATATCCGTTTCAAATTCTGTTTATACCACCGTAGTTTCACGAACTGGCTATATATATTGAATCTACAATAATAGCTTATTTAAAACAACGGTGCTAGCACCCGGAGGTATGAACGGACGACGCGCCTGCACTTCGTTTCGGACACCCCACGCGGGGACCGCGTCACCCCGAACGTCACAAGCATCGAGAAAAGGGGGACGGGGCGGCACTTGCCTGCGCCTCTGGTTCGGATGCTCGGTTAGCGCCGTGAGCCACATATCAACAAGATTTAACATGTGAGAGAAGGAGCTAATTGGATCCTTTTTCAGACCAGACCAATCCAAGTTTAACTGTATTAATTTATCAGGAAAAATTTTGTGGGAGCATGCCTCCCTCTAACTTTCCTGCCAGCCAGAAGAGATTCAGGTTTGGTAATGGCTTTAGTGCGTTCAAGTTGAGGATCTCATTGATACCACACGTGGAAATATATAGTCGGCTAAGGTTAGGCATCGCTGTCAAGGAGTTCCATAACTCTGCAATGTAGCTTTGTTTCACTTCTAGTATACCCAAACTTCTCATCAGTGTCAAGTTCCTCAGCTCTGAAACCAAATTTATATTTACTGAAATGGTGTACAAAGCTTGCAGATTCTTGAGATGATTACAACAAAAGACATTTCACCATTGATGGCCGAAATACACGAGTAACACATATATTACACAGAAATGGCTAAAAAACGAATCTATTACAGCCAAGGCATTTTAACCGTCTTTGTGAGGGTCTGGTAATTTTTTGAACCAATACTTTGGTAAACTCACAATTTACATACAACTAGTACAAAGTACGAACTGTCCAAGTCTAGCGGTGGTACAATGAAAATTCTCATACAGGCCTTGCTATCATAAAATGTTGCAGGTTCCACGGAGATCAGCAAGCCACTGCCACTCTCATATCTCAATCTCTGGCAGCCTGTTCAAGCAAATGTCTACTGTTTTTTCTGCTGGACATTTTCTGCAAATACAGAAATTTTCGACCAAAACTCATGCTTCAGCCTCCATGGAAACAGATGCTGAATATTTCCTGAATTCATCATTGTTGATGGCTGCAAATTGTTTCAGTAGCTAGGTTAAAAGCCATATATGAGGCACAGTACAAACAATGAGCTCGTCTCAAGCTCTGGCACCAAGATCAACAGCATATTGCTCGGTTGGTTCATAAAATAACTCTCGATGACTGTCACATGCCAGATGAGTAGGGGCATACTTAGTTGCACCAGGGTCAAACTTCGTGGCAAGATATGTCGCAAGGCAGAATTTATTTACTGCAATACCAACAAAACATTTTTATTCTGCTGTACAATATACAAGACCTTATGGTGAATAAAGAAGACACAGAACAAAATGTTTCCAGAGTAAACCAACAATTTTTAAATACTATAGATCTTGCCTATTGGGTTAGCTTAACCTTTCCTAACATAAAATTTATCTTGAGAATGTCTCACGACACCCGTATTAGTTTTTTTGTCAAGTAATTGGCATAGCAAAACGAAATTTACCTGCTTCAGAATCAGAGGATTCAAAAATATGGATGTTGCATATATGTTGAACAATGGGACGCTCGCTTCCTTGCAGGCTTCCTAGAAACTCCTTTGACATATCTGTCAGATACATCTGGTGGAGTGTCCTGATGTACTTGATGCCATAGGGTACTTCCTTTAGATTCCCTAAATCATTCAACTCCAAATTATTTAGACACATCATTGTTCCATCCTCTATCTCAATCCAATTCAGATTCTCCATTTTAGATAATTGCAGATAATTGAGCTTGGGGAACCATCCTGAACAAAAAGTTAGCTGCTCCCCACCATATGATCCACACATCAGCAGATAAACGAGGTTTGACATGTGAGATAAGGAGCTAATAGGGTCCTTCTTTAGACCAGACCAGTCTAATTTTAACCATGTTAACTTCTCAAAATTATAAAACATCGATGGAAGCACACCTGCCTCCAACTTTCCTGCGAGCTTGAAGAAAATCAGATTTGATAAGGGCTTTAGCATTTTTAAATCAAGAATCTCCTCCATGTCACATGCAGAAATAACCAACCTATTCAGGCTAGGCATCTTTGTCAGGGAATTCCATAATTCTGCAATGTAGCTTTGCCGCACTTCTACTATAGCCAAACTTCTCATTAATTTCAAGTTCCCGAGTTGTGAAACCAGATCTTTGTTGGCCGAAACAATCTGTAAAGCTTGCAGATTCTTTAGATGACAAATGTTACCAGGAAATTTTGTAGCACCAAAATAACTCAATGATCTTTGTTGAAAATCATGGACTGCAAACACATGTAAATGACGTAAGTTAGTTAGCTTAGTTATTTCCTGTGGCAATTCCTCTACATAGGTGAATCTGAGATCCAAAACTTGTAGGTTGACAAGTTTTCTGAATGATGCTGGTATAATCTTCACTTTTGTGTATGAAAAATCAAGATAACGCAAGTTATACAATTCTGTGACCACGCCCGGCACTTGTTCAATATTGACAAATCTTAGGCTTAGGACCCTCAGTAGTCTGAAACGTGATAAAATATCATTTATCCAAGAACATGGTACTTCAGTGTCAAACAAAATGAATGAGCGGAGCCGTGAACTAGCTAAAGAGTTCATGGTCTGGGCACTGCTTTGGATGAATAAGCGGCGAGCTTCATGGGCAATTTGGGTTGTACTGGCACCACCATGTGCAATACCAAACTTCTCCTTTTTAGCAATGATTGACGTAACCTCTTGCACAAGATCATGCATCACAAACGTTCTAGCTCTTCCACATGCTTTCCTTTCTGTGACCTGAAGAAGAGAGCGTTGAGTCAACTCCATAAGGTAACACTCAGCAACTTCCTCCATTGTCGTTCCATCCCCTCTCTCTTCCACAAGACCTTCCGCTATCCATAGCTTCGAAATATGTTTTCTTCTAATCTTGTAATCTTCAGGATAGAGGCTGCAGTATAGGAAGCAGCTCCTAAGATAACTTGGGAGATCATTCAAGCTCAACTTTAAGACACTGGAAATCCAGTTGAGCTCTGGATTGTTCGCTAATTGCCAGCTAAGTTGGTTGAAGAAAAATGCCCACTCCTGTTCCTTTAAGTCACGGTATGACAGAATACTGCCAATAGTTATAATGGCCAGTGGCAATCCTTGGCACTTTGCAACAATTTTATTTGCCCAATATCTTATATTTTCAGGACAAATGTTATCTTTTGAAGCATGAAAGGCCTTTTTACAAAATAGTTCCCAAGATTCAGCATGTTTAAGGGTTTTAAGTTCAATGACATAGTTATCAACTGCCAAAGAAGACACATCTTTCCTCCGGGTTGTTATCAGCACTTTACTTCCACAGTTGTTTTTGACAAATGCATAGTTCAAAAATAGTCAAGCATCTTTGTTCCATACATCATCCAAGACAATGAAATATTTCCTGTCCTGCAAATGACTTTGTATTAGCTCAACTAATCTCATGCGACTCATGGTCATGACACCACTTGTCATGCTTGCTCTTTCACCTATTAGCCGATTTATAATTTCTCTTAATAGGTTTTCAACCTGATAAGTCTGAGATACAACAACCCAGGCGTGGCAACCCGCTTCTACATAAGTTCCTAAAATTCGTGTCACATCGAATGTTTGACACATGTATGGAGTATTAAATATAGATTAATTACGAGACTAATTGCACAACTTGTGACTAATTTATGAGACGAATCTTTTAAGCCTAATTAGTCCATGATTTGACAACGTGTTGCTACCGTAAACATGTGCTAATGACAGATTAATTAGGCTTAAAAAATTTGTCACATAAATTAGCCTCCATCTATGTAATTGGTTTTATAATTAATCTATATTTAATGCTCCTTATTAGTATCTAAACATTCGATGTGACATGAATTTTAGGAGCGACTAAAGAACCAAACACCCCCCTAAATGCCACACCGTTTACCCATTATGCGCTATGGGGCTTGATTTGGCTAGTATCTTGATTTTTTTTAAACAATCTAGTATCTTGATTTTCACATTTTTAAAATGAAATCTCTCTCTTCCCATATATCCGTTTCAAATTCTGTTTATACCACCGTAGTTTCACGAACTGGCTATATATATTGAATCTACAATAATAGCTTATTTAAAACAACGGTGCTAGCACCCGGAGGTATGAACGGACGACGCGCCTGCACTTCGTTTCGGACACCCCACGCGGGGACCGCGTCACCCCGAACGTCACAAGCATCGAGAAAAGGGGGACGGGGCGGCGCTTGCCTGCGCCTCTGGTTTGGATGCTCGGTTAGCGCCGTGAGGAGAAGGAGACACCGAGGCGAGGCAGCAAAAGGCGATGAGAGAGATGCAACATCTGATCTAACTTTTAAAACATTTAGATTCAACACTTGCAACATACGTCTGAAGATAGATGAAACATTTAAAACATGTATCTGAAACACTTGTAAATATACCCGAAAAATATTATAAGAACATATGCAACATCCAGATGAAACACTTGCAGCATATGTGTGAAACATATGCAACATCCAAATAAACACACTTGCAACATACGTTTGAAAAACAGATGAAACATTGCGAATAAAATCTTGCAACATACGTGTACAAACATTGCAACATATGCAACATCCCCATCTACACTTTATGAAACATTTGCAACATACCAATGAAACATCGAAAACACTTGAAACATAGCCTTGCAACATGAGTTTTTCACCCTCCTTTTATACGACGCAGCATAGAGCGGGGGATGGGTAGGCGGAGGGCAGCGTCGTCGTGGCCCCTTCTAGAGGCGAGTAGAGGGGGCCGCGGGGACAGGCCACCTACGAGCTTTGGCCGAGCTACAGGCTGCCAAGCGGAGAGGGAGGCAGGGACAGGCCATCGATGAGCGCAGGCCGCCGGTGGGCTTTGGCTAGGAGGAAGGGGACAGACGCGGGCGCAGATGGCTACTGCACGAGCTCTTGCTGGGCAGGGGTGGAACGAAGGGGCCGATGGGGAGCTCTGGCTGGGCGAGGACAGGAAGAAAGGGTCGGCTCCGTAACCATGAGACAAATATCCCTTCTCCATCGGCGCATAAGGGAAAAGAGAGACGCGTGAGGAGAAAATGGAGAGGAAAAAATGAAGTAAAAAGAAAAAAAAGAGGAATAAAGAATTAAGAAAAGAGAAAAAAGAAAAATTCATCTGTTCCTACTTCGCTTCGGTCATTTTGTTTCCGTTTCTCTAATTCCTTTTTTCGGTCACATGCTGTCTTCCTGTACGGAATCTCAGCTTATATTTTTCTTCCTTTCCCGTATGGAATTCTAGTTTCTATTTTTCTCACTTTTTCCTGTTGCGTGAGTTTCTGCTTTTCGTTTTTCTTCTTTGTTTTTTTGTTCTGTCCGTCCACTTTTGTTCCTTTTTTCCCTTCTTTTCTGTACGTGCATTTCCGTTTTCTGTTTTTCTCCTCTACACACCGGTGGTTCCTTCGTAAAGTTAAAAACACATAACACATACAACATTACGTCCCTTTGGACTATTAATCTTTCTCTAGAAAAAAAATATTTTCACCATCAAATCCTTGATATAGACCATATAGTAAATTTTAAAAACCAAGATTATTCTTTTATGGATCACCGAAGTTCCAACTAATCAAACCATAAACTGAAAGCTTGAGCATTTTATTATCTAATGCCATCTAAATATGTATCTTTATAATTCCATCTAGGAAGGGTTGGCACGTGTAAAATCGAGAGAGGTCTCCCGTCACAATTTTCTAGATAGAGACTAATTCTTGAAACGTTGGCAACTAACTTCTTTCCTATTTTAACCAGATAGTAGAATTACATATTTGATAATGCTCTCCTCAGGGCATCTGGACGGACGAACACAAATTACCCACTCCCATTCGCGTCGTCCGTGCCCCTTCCGGCCAATATGTGCTCCCCCCGATGCTCCCCTCATGGCTTTCCATCTAAAAAACAGGATGCCGATTTCCCATTTTGTGCTGCTGCTCGTGCTCTCCCTGGCCTTGCTCTCCTCCCTCCTCCTCATCGGCTCCACGCCGTCGTCGCCGCCTCCCGCTCTTGCCATCCCTCCTCCTTCCCTGCCACTGATGGAGGAGAAATAGCATCAGTAGTAGGCTCCCGAGGTCACACGCTCGCCGCCTCCCTTCTCTAGCACACCGCGGGGGGTGCCTCACCATGGAGACCGAGCCCGCTTGTCTTGTCGTCGGGAGCGGTGCTGCCGCTCGTCAGGGCCATGCCCAGTCACCGCCCACTGGCATCCCCCGCGTGACACCACGGCATTGAGCTCTGCGTCAACGAGCCTTCATTCGTCCAAGCAACGAGTAGATGTTGATCTTGAAAGCGCATGTTGCAAGTGTATGTTTTAAGTGTTTCAGAGGTATGTTGCAAGTGTTTCATATGGATGTTGCAAAACTAGATCGAGATGTTGCATATGTTGCAATGGCTATACACATATGTTGCAACCGTCTGTTCTAAATGTTTTATCTGTTTTTTTTCAGACATGTATGTTTGCAAGTGTGTTTATCTGGATGTTGCATGTGTTTCACACATATGTTACATGTGTGTTTTATCTAGATGTTGCAATGGTTATTTCAAGCGTTTTCAGGTGTTCTTACAAGTGTTTGAGACGTATGCTGCAAGTGTTTCAACTATTTCAAACTTATGTTACAAACTATTTCAAACTTATGTTACAAATGTTTGATTTGGATGTTTTAAAAGTAGATTGGGTGTTGCATCTCCGTCGTCGCTTTCTGCTACCTCGCCTAGGTGTCTCCTCCTCTTCTCGATGCTGGTGATGTTCGGGCGGCATGGGCTCGCATGGGGGGTGGGGACGTGGGTGGGGTGAGTTGTTCGAGCGGCGCAAAATCTGAGTGGGCGGGGCATGCGGCACGGAGCAGGCGCGGGGAGCTGCGTTTGGATGCGAGCGTAGCGTAACGACATGCGGTCGTTCCAACTGAAAACTTTTAGGATTAAAATTCGAAAGGTGGTTTATTACTCTCATGTGGAGATCCCTAGTGTTTTGATCGAGAAGTAAGACACGAGATTCACAAACCGATGCCATCAACCCACTCAAGCTCAACAACAATCAACACTGGCTCAACCCCAATGAAACAAGTTTTGACATCAAAGTAATCCCAACGACAACCAGCCAATGTCATCAAACCCTTCCCAAAAGCATGGATGATGCTTACACCTAAAAAGATCAGGTTAGCACCCAATGTCACAGAACCCTAGCTTTCAACCAAAGATCAAGACAAGACTGAGGACTAGCGGATCATCCGGTAGAACCTGCAGACCATCCGCCAGTCAACTGAACAACAACAGTCGGTGGGAAATGAGTTGTCCTCCACTCTCTTATGGACCCCACTTGCCATATGCATGAAATGGGAAGTTAACTCAACAGATTTAGCTCACCCTCCTCATCACCCTCTCATTTCTCATCCTCCCTCTCTCTCAAGAAAAGGAAAGCAAGGAAGAACTAGAGAGAGAAGTGAAGAAAAGGAAGAAAGTAGAAGATGACGTGGAGCCAAGGCAACAAGATCAGCCCTTCTTCAAGCTCATGAGCATCTTCATCTCAATCCCTAGCCATGGTTATCTCATGAGCCCCCTTTCAAGTTTTTCTTGAATTTCTCTCAAACCCTAACTCCCAATCTCTCATGCATGATTGGAGTATGGAGTGTGATGACTTCATCATAAAAAAGGTAAGATCAAAATCATCTCATGCTCAATCTCTCATGGATCAACCCCGTCCCTCTCATGTGAATATTATGGATTTTTGCAAAGGAATGCCAAGGATGATCAACCTAATCCCTTCAAGTTGGAATTCAAGGATGAGCAAGCCTTTATCCGTGCTCTAGGTGGCCATATGGTCACTAATCTCAGAGCTAAGTTCTCTTTTGCCCAATCTCATGATTTGTGAGCATGTCCTCCAGCATTGGGTCCTCCGTGGCATCGTGACTTGCGAGCATGTCCTGGGGCCATAGGGTAAGTACCAATGGGTTGGGCATGAGATGGTGCGGCCCATTGGCTGGCTCGTTGTGATCAGCCCGAGCACCTTCCTCACCGCTGGAGGAGGCAGCCAGCGTGACCAAGTTGTCATCCTAAAAGCTCTAGTTTGGTTTTGGTGAATTGATGAAACCCTAAGTGCTAACCTAGCTTATCAAAGTGATTATGAGATAGGTAGCACTACTCCAAGTGGTGAAGCAAATGAAGATCATGACTTGATGATGGTGATGCCATAGTGATGATCAAGTGCTTGGACTTGGAAAAGAAGTAAAAGAAAAACAAAAAGCTCAAGGCAAAGGTGAAACTTGATAGGAGCTTTTTCGTTTTGGTGGTCGAGACACTTAGTGAGTGTGATCACATTTATGATTGATAGCCATACTATTAAGAGGGGTGAAACTCGTATCGAAATGCGGTTATCAAAGTGTCACTAGATGCTCTAACTCATTGCATATGCAATTAGGATCTAGAGAGTGCTAACACCCTTGAAAACATTTGTGAAAATATGCTAACACATGTGCACAAGGTGATACACTTGATGGTTGGCACATTTGAGCAAGGGTAAAGAAGACAGAGTTAAAAAGGAGTTGATTGCGCTGGTCACGGGGTGACCGGACGCGTCCGACATGCGTACCGGACGCGTCCGGTACTGTCTCAGGCTGTAGTGTTCCTGATGTGACCGGACGCGTCCGATATCGATACCGGTCATGTTCGGTATTCTAGCCAGGCGCGGGCAGAGTTGCCGAGGTGACCGGACTCTGGCTCAGTGGAGTGATCGGACGCTGATGAGTTATTGTTTAGCGTTAGGTCAAAGTGATATACCCGAAGCAGGATTGCAGAGAGCGACCGGACACGTCCGGTCGCCACACTAGACGCGTCCGGTGTGAACCAACAAGTCTCAGGTTTTCAGTGCATTAATTGATCGGATGCTGGGAGCATCCGGTCCGGTGTGACCGAACGCGTCCGGTCGGCCCAGAGCGGCTCTGGGAGCTCTCTGGACTCGACCGGACGCTACGTCTCCCGCATCTGGTCTGGTGTGACCGGACGTGTCCGGTCGGCCCATAGCAGCTCTAGGAGTTTGTGGCAGAACCGCCCGAAATAACACGCTTACGGAGGTGCTCGCTTTCCACCAGGCACTAAGCACCCCGAAAGCAAGCTACAGCGGGCAGTATCTGTCGGGCACACCCCAAGGGGGAACCCAAAAGATCCATATTTTTCCTAAGGATCCAATAATGAGAACGAGTTACAATATAGATCCATCTCATATATCCGAGTTTCTTAAAAAGTACATTATTACATTACCAAATGTCAGAGTGTGGAATGATAATCAGCGGAATTTAAAATAAACATCTAGCGATAAGAATGAGGATTTGTCTGAGCCCACCAGAGGAATCCTCCACACAAAGGTACTTCTCATGCATCATCTGTAATAGGGGTAAATAAACCCTGAGTACACAATGTACTCGCAAGACTTATCCGACTAGTGGGAATAATTTCCCGATTTCAAGGAATATGATAAGCTTCATGGTTTGCTGGTTTTCTTTTACAAAATGCAATACTAATAGTGAGTCCTTATTTATGTTATGATTATTAGCCGTATTAAGTTATTATCTATCCAGTCTATATAAGCACATGTTCTACTTTCAAGCAAGAGTTGAGCAATCAGTTCCATTTCTTCTTCTTTCAACTTTCAGTTCTTACTACGATGCTAAAGGTAAGATAAGTCGCACCGACTCGGCGGCGATTCGCGAACCAATGTGCCCAGCTGGGTGCCCCAAAAACACATGCCCCGCTTGTACCCCAGGCACAAGTAGGACTAACCCATCGCCCTCCTATCCTGGGTGTCCATGTCCCTATCCAAACTTGGACTCCAAGCCCCCACTCCTGAGTCCCGGACTTAGTGCGGTGCAAGGACCTCCACCATCTCTGCCTCCAATCAGTCGGTCCGGAAAGAGCCGGATCCACGACAAGAGAGCAACAAGTCTTCCCTGCGCCCATACCCAAGTATGCGCTTGGGACAATAGATCTGTGACTTGCCTCGCGTCCATTGCAACAACCGGTCCTTAATTGACATAGACAATGAAAAAGTGTAACCGAGCTATGCCCTATTGGTCGCAGGACACAACCCTTTACACCCACCAGAACCCAACCATATCCCTGCCCGGTCACCATTTTCCTTTCCACCATTTTATCAGGAGTGATCATATTTATCACCTATTTGTGAGCAACGACGGGTTACCCACGCTACTGACATCCTGAGCATAGAAGCTACTCGACCTATACTAGTAGGACTCATGGGTGGATATATTTTTGCACGTAGTTTCCATAAAATGCATGTAACGTAAATGCACAACACATATACATATCCAGTTATTATTCAAAATAAGGGTTATGCACCGGGGCTTGCCTTGGGCAGGCGGGGTGTCAGCAAAGTCAGCAACTGATGGCTCCGGAACTCCCTCCTACACGAGAACCTCCTCCTCGTACTCCTCGATCACCTTCTCGTACTCCTGCTCACCCGCAATCATAAACTCTACCAACTCGTTATCTACATGCATGAAATGATGATGCAACGCTTAGTAATACGGTAACAACAACTCTTAAAATAAGAATACATCTACCAAGCTACTAAGCTAACTCTAATGACTAATACGCAAAGTTACCTATTACTCCCACTAAACAGGTATGAAACATTTCACGTATTATCTTAGCAACTAAAGGCATCCTTATTGTTAATATCAATTTACTATATATATGATAAAACAAGGTGCACTAGCTACCATATTTATCAACCTATTCTAAGGCTACAAAAATTACAGTGAGCACATAATAATACAATGAACCTACTGCAAAAAATTTTAGGGCTAGCACTTCTATCAATGCATCACAAAAATTTATTCTCTAAATAACCATAATAATAATAAGCATTTCAAAATAATAAAGTAACCCTAAAGGTATCACTAAACTGTATGAACTATATACACTAACAAATACATCATGAATTTAGGAATCTAACAAAATTTATTTCACAATAAATTCAAATGAGCTCTAGAGATGAAGAAATTGATATGGATGGGTAGAGAGTGATTTTAGATGAATTTATGAAAAAGAATCAATGGAATCGGAGTTCGTATGAGGGATATATTGATTGGGTAAGGTGGCTGTTTAATTAATTCCAAAAATAAAAATGATATTATTGGAGGAGGCTAATCATGCAATTGGACTTGTTGACT